TCCTATTTTGATTTTGGAATTCACTCTTCAGTTGTCAAAATGCCGTCCAAGCAAGAAGAGCAGCGTATCAAAATTTTGCTCGCGCATCGCGAAAATCCGAGCTACTCGCACGCAAAGTTGGCAAAATCGCTAAAAGTTGCCAAATCAACCGTTACAAATGTAATTAAAGTGTTTGGGGAACGTATGTCGACAGCCAGGAAGTCTAGATCGGGGGGAAATCGAAAACCGGAAGCCGCTGAGACGACAAAGAGAGTTGCCGGTAGTTTCAAGCGAAACCCTAACCTCTCTCTCCGAGATGCCGCAAATAAGTTGGGTGTATCGTCTACAACCGTGCATCGAGCCAAAAAACGAGCCGGACTATCGACTTACAAGAAGGTAGTGACTCCAAATCGCGATGATAAACAAAATACGACGGCCAAAGCGCGATCCCGGAGGCTGTACACGACGATGCTGACGAAGTTTGACTGCGTGGTAATGGACGACGAAACCTACGTCAAAGCCGACTACAAGCAGCTTCCGGGACAGGAGTTTTATACGGCAAAAGGAAGGGGAAAGGTAGCAGATGTTTTCAAGTACATGAAACTGTCAAAGTTCGCAAAGAAATATCTGGTTTGGCAAGCCATCTGTACCTGTGGCTTGAAAAGCAGCATTTTCATAGCTTCCGGGACTGTCAACCAAGAAATTTACGTGAAAGAGTGTTTGAATAAACGTCTGCTGCCTTTCCTGAAGAAACACGGTTGTTCCGTACTGTTTTGGCCGGATTTGGCATCTTGCCATTACGGTAAAAAGGCCATGGAGTGGTACGCCGCCAACAACGTGCAGGTGGTTCCCAAGGACAAGAACCCTCCCAACACGCCAGAGCTCCGCCCAATTGAGAAATACTGGGCTATTGTCAAGCGGAACCTAAAGAAGACCAAAAAAACTGCTAAGGGCGAGCAGCAGTTCAAGGCAAACTGGCTTTCTGCGGCGAAGAAGGTGGACAAGGTGGCTGGCAGGGGTCAAGCGTAAGGCCCGGCAATTCGGATTTGGAAAAGCGGAAGCCTAACTGAATATTTTTCCTGAATTTTATACTAATTGAACTTGAAAAAGAAATTTAATTTGATTTTTTAAATAAACGATTTCACCGATTTACACGCGTTTTCCCTTGCCCAAATTTTGACCGTATCACCCTTTACTATTTAAATACTTCAACAAGTTCTAAAATTTTCTCTAATGTGTGCAACATGTTGATGGGACGAACCTCTTCGGCTTTAATCGTTCCAGCAACTTTTTGAATAGGGCCCACTAAGGATTCCTTCCAAATTTGTGGCACATGTCCAGTTTGTAATGATTCATTAATAAGATCCAGCAAGATGTGGCCAATGACATGAAAGCAATCTTGAATAACTCTAGCATTAACATTATCTACTCCAGCCGATTTTCCTAATGAAAAACAAATAACTCTAAGTTCATCTAATGTAATTGGGCGAAAAACTTCAAATCTGCAACTACTATTAACTGGCTGTTTTATTTCGTCAGGTTCATCGACCAATTCAATAGATTGATTAATCAATGAAACACTGTCTACAAAATAATCATTAAACTTGTCTGAAATTACTTGTTCTGACTGTTCTTATGTGCTATTAAAAGTTATGGACCGTGGTTTGCAATTACTAGGTTTTAATAAAGATTCCAAAATTTTCCATAACTCATTGCTGTTATTTTGATGCTGATCAATCTTCTTTTGAACATATTCACAACGAGTTTTCTTTATCGATTGTGAATACTTATTACGCGCGATTGTGTACCTATTCCAATGATTGTCATTATTTGATCCACAAAACTTTTTGTTCCATTTGTCCCTTTTCCGTTTAAGACGCAAAAGATCCAAATTGTACCAGCTGTTCGAGTTCTTCAAAGAAACAAACTGTTGCTCAACTAGTTGATTAGCACACGTTTTCAAAGCGTGATTAAGAACAGCTGTAGATTCATTTAAGCTACTGGCCGCGAATGGAAAATCCACGCTCCTCTCAACAAGATTCGAATATTTCCTCCAGCTCTTCAATTTACAAAATTATCGTTATCGTTAACATGGTCTAAGACATTAATCACTAAGGTCTCATGATCGGTTATTTTCAAATCAGTATCGGTAACTGAACAAATGGAATCAAAAATGGTATACACGTGGTCAATTAAAGTTCTACTGTGCCTGGAAATACGCGTATATTCATTTACCGTTTGCTTTAAATTAAAAAACTTAGCTAAACGCTTCAAATGATTCGAATTATGGTTATTGTCGTGGTCGCGTCGCTTGCTCGCCACCTTCAAATGTCCGTAGTTTTCGAACATAACCACCTGAATGATCTCACATGAACAGTTGACTGATAACTACAGTTATCACACCAATTAACATTAAAATCACCAGCCAATATATTTAATTTACTAGAATCAAGGAATGTCTCAAACCAGCTCTCTAAAACTTCTACAAAACGCTGGTCACTAGAACTGGGAGAATGATACAAAACACCATAATTACCCATCTTCATGAGGTTTGATTGCTAAATTGAAAAAAGTTTAATTTTCCACTTTATATTATGAAATTAGTTCAAAATTATTTAACTGACAGAACTCTGCAGGTAAATTATCAAAATTCCAAATCTAAACGACTACCTGTTAGAGCAGGATTTCCTCAGGGTAGCTTCTTGGGTCTATATTGTATAACATTTTCACTTCAGACCTCCCTGATTTGCCTCAGGGTTGCCACAAATCTTTGTTCGCTGATGACACAGGCATTTCCGCTAAAGGAAGAAGTCTTCGTGTTATTTGCAGCAGACTGCAGAAAAGTTTAGATATTTTCTCTTCTTATTTACAAAAATGGAAGATTTCTCCCAACGCTTCCAAAACTCAACTTATAATATTTCCACACAAGCCTAGAGCTTCGTTTTTGAAACCTAATAGTAGTCACATAGTCACTATAAACGGAGTTCCAATTTCCTGGTCAAACCAAGTGAAATATCTTGGATTAATACTTGACCAAAAATTAACTTTTAAAGATCACATTGAGGGCATTTAAGCTACACACTACGAAAAAGTCATGTAAATTTCGGTGTCCTGAGACCGACACATGCAAGCGGCCCATGTGACATAAGAATCAGTTGAAAGAAAGGAGAAAATCAATTCAATCAAACGCACTTTTCGTCGAGTTGCGTATGTTTCGGTTTCGGAACACTTAATTTTACATGACATGCTTGTTTACGTACCATAGTTTACGTCAAAGATGGATTACATCTCGTGTAAAAGTAGTTATTTCTAAGTGTGTAAATGTAACAAACATATTAAATGTTTGTATCCTCTTATAAACAGGAAATCCAAACTTTGCCTGACGAATAAACTTCTAATATTTAAACAAGTTTTTAGACCGGCCATGCTTTACGCTGTGCCAATATGGTCTTGTTGTTGGACTACCAGGAAAAAAGCACTTCAAAGGATTCAGGACAAAGTTCTGAAGATGATTTTGAAATTGCCTCCCTGGTACAGTACTACCGAAGTACATAGAATTTCGAATGTTGAGGTTTTAGAACAAATGTCCAACAAAATAATGAATAATTTCAGGCAAAAATCGTTGCAATCCTCAATTGCAACGATTAATTCCCTTTATACTTAGATACGATTTAGTTTTAGTTTTTAGTTTTAAGATATCAATTGTTATACTGACATGCAGGTTTAAAAAACTGAATTGCCATGACAGGAACAATGTTAAAACACTTAGATATACATATATCATAACAATTAAAGCTGGTATGCTACTGTAGTAACTGGAGCACCTAGGTTAAAATTTTGAATTTGAAACAAATAAAGAGTTAAAAAAACAGCAAGATTTTGAAGAAGTATGTTTGAAAACAAACCAACTTAATATCAGAGATGCCATGACCGATTAAATTTAAATTGTTTTAACATCATTCCGGTGAATGGTTCTTACATCTGTTGGGTGGTACTCCCCCTCAGGCCCCTCTTTGTGATAGATTCAAGAATGTGTTGGCACAGGAGGTGTTTCTCAATCTTCATAATATATCTTACTTGTCATTGCGAAAACATATTGATTTTTTTCGTGGAACTCCAGAAAATAATAGCGAACAATCATAAGACCCCATGCCTACCTTGGAATAGGTTCTGCATATTCCGGATTGTGGTTCCACATTTTCAAATTTGATATCTCTCATAACCATATCAAGCGACATATCAAGTCACTTCTACTAGACGAAATATGACCTATGTCACTTAACCTACAACCATAGAGCCATATGGGCATAGTAGAACCGGTTCTGCATATTCTGAATTATGGTTCCGGTAATCATAAGATATTTTGATTTGCATGACTCATTCAAAAAAACATGGTCCAGGTTTTTTAAATCAGCTAGAAATTTCACTTCTGCTTCCTGACAACCATCCGCAATCCGAGCTGCTCAAGGTGTCATGGACAACATTTACGGACCTAACGTTTTGCATATTAAAGAGCAAATTTTCACGTTCTTGTCCCAAATTCAACACCAACAAATCTTACGAATCATCTTTTATGTCAGGTTCTTTGGTGAAAACCGTCTCACTGTCAGAAGCAAGAAAATCAATTTATATTCATGAGTGGTGTTATCCATTCGTGAAGGCTAACGGTTTAACGCAATCCAAAAGCCTTTATTAAATCGCTGAAAATCATGTTTGCGAATAATGTACATATGAGGGTGTGAAGGCAAGCATTTCCTTTCATGCCGGGAAACTGTATCAGAAGCAGCAATTCACAAGAGCTTCTCGGATAATAGCTACTGCCATTAGCTCGTAATGAGGAAACAATGCCTAAGGGACGCCCTTCCGTTTCCGTGCAGGCAGAGAGCTAAGTATTAATCATAGCCGATTGAAAATGCAAAACCTTGCCGACTTTCCCTTTTCTCCAGTTTTTGGGCGGTGTTTTTGGGAAACAGTGTGGATGGGCGGTATAATATTAGAGATATTTATAGCAGCCAACTTACCTCAGCTGCCAGTCGAGGACGGAGTTTGGATCTCGCGCGTACTCGTCCCACATTTTGCACCATTCTTCCACGGAAACCTGAAATGGAAAAGTAACGAAACGGAAGGAATGTAAATTTTTGGAGAAGTTAAGAAAGTCGGCGCTGGAAAAGACTAGGACTATGAAGACAGTGGCGAAATTTTAATTCCATTATAAGAATTAAATAATGTAATAATGCTTTGAAAGAAAGCTTCCCCATAGCTAAATAATATATTCGATTCATTGGAACGAAATTTAGTATTATTAGTATTTTCGCTACTGGCAGTATGTTTGTTTTAAAATCAAATTTCAAAAATCTCAAATTTGATTGAAAGCGAATGAGAGTGATAATAAACAATATGTCAATTGAATCTAATTTTGTTCGATTTCCTTAGCGAACAGATTCCAGTACCGACCCGATTAACAAAAATATTGGAATCCGAATATAACGAATATAATAGAAATAATGCATTTGTACTGATTACAATGCTACAATATTCCAATATTCACATAGGAAATACATAGTGATTTAATTGTGTATGGGTCCTGAAAGTTATAGCAAAAGGGCTTGATAAAGCCTAGCATATTTTTGTCCTGTGGACAGTGCTGCAAAATCTCGACAACATACGGACACTTAGAATACTAAGTGCGAGTAGTGAATCAAGGTGAAGTGTAAATCATCAATTCAGCTGATCAGGTAAAGTCGAAGTCATCCACGAAATTGGTCGAAGGCACTAATGGACCTCCTCGCTAGGACCATTTTTTCAACAAATCAAATTGTTTTCTGGTTGGCGAGTCAAGGACCGCCATTGAACGCTACGGTCTAGGTGACATTTAGTTACCTTGACCTAAACGTAAAGGACATCGTTCTCGAGCTGAAGGCCCTAAACGCCAAGGAGAATTTCCCTTCCCGGTTCGACAGAGGGCGGCCTTGCCGTCGTCGACCGGCTTCATCAGAAGGGAGCGCCTGTGCATCGAATCCATCTCCACAAACCGCTATACCAGCCCCGGTAAAACCAACCCGCCATCGCACTACAGCCGACGTTCGGTCAGCCTCGCTTCGTCCGCCATTGTCGGAATTGTACCGGTATTTAACCGAGCGGTGGTACCGCCATCTTGCCAACAAGATCGGCCTTTTATTATCCGCCATCGACAGGATCATTCCGGAACAACAGTGAGCGCTCGCTGGTCTGCAGTCGTCGTAGTCGCCATCGTCATCAAGGGTATGTGCCAAGAAAATCGATCACAACACCACACAATCCACACTATCGTTAATTGGAGAAAATACAGTGTTAAAGTTGATTCGCGCTGTCCGCGTAGCCTCTCCAGTTTGCCCAGTAGTGCACCGACTCTGAGACACAGTTCAAGGATTATCGTGCTGCTGAGTTGTTGTCGGGCAGAACATTAGTTTCACCTGTAAGCTTTATCAAGGTTTTAATGCACTGATAAGACCAAAAATGTTACTTAGGATATTGAGAGTAGACATATGTACAGTACTGGCAGAAATAAAGTGCTCAGTAGAAAACATTTTCTTAAAACGCGATTTTTGTTGATGTATCGATATTAATGGTTAAGGATTATTTGGCATAATCAGGGATATTCTGCGTGGTGAATGAGGTGAGGTGACTCCAGTCACTCGTGTCACTCGATTCCAGCTGGTGAGTGAGGTGAGAAAAGTCACTTGGGATGAACCCGGTGAACTCTCACCTTATTCTCACAGTCGTATTTCGGTGACAAAAGTTGTACTGAAGTGACGATTTTAAGTTACAAGAGTCGTAACCTCCGCTGCTGTCGACTGGATGGAAAACCTTGGAGTTATATAAGCGATGGTTGCGGTTTTCGGTAATTTATTACTTCTTAATTTGTTTCAATCAACTTTATTATTGTTTCCAGCCAATAATTTCTTCGGCATCCTCAATATGAGTATTTTTGGAATTGGGGTGACATGTAGGGTCCGGAAATCTATGTCTGATGCTATTTTGAAATTCAATATGGTGGCTTCCGGTTACAGACAAACAGAAAAATACAGGCAGCTTTTCCGTCCATACACATCACTCCAATTCCAAAAATACCCATATTTAGGGGCATTGGACAGAATTTCCAAGTTTTTCTCTAACGGAAAGCCACCATATTGTATTCAAAATATCGTCAGTCATAGATTTCCGGTCTCTACACATCACCACGGTTGCAAAACTACCCATATTGAGGGGTATTTCATGGTATTTTTCAATTTTTATGTAACTGGAAGCCGCTATCTTGAATTTATAAAAGGCATTAGTTTCCGGTCCCTACACATCACCAAGATTCCTAAAATACTCATAAGGTGGTGTATTTGACATAATATCCCAGTTTTTATTTAAACGGAAGCCGCCATCTTGGATTTCAAAATAACGCCAGGCATGGATTTCTGGTCACTACACGTCACCCCGATTCCGAAAATACCTATAGTAAGAGGTATTTTACAGAATTTCCAAGTTTTCCCCTAACCAGAAGCCGCCATCTTGAATTTCAAAATGGAGTTAGACATCTATGCCCGGTTCCTACACGTTACCAAGATTCCAAAAATACCCATATTGTGGCTAATTTTTCAGTATTTTCCAGTTTTTCTCCAACTGGAAGCCGCCATATTGATTTCAAAAAGGTGTCAGACATGGGTTTCAACTCTCTACACGTTACCAAAAATACCCATATTGGAAGGAATTTGACAGAATTCACAAGTTATTCTCTAACCGGATAATTATTGTGGGTAATTTGGCAGTATTTCCCAGTATTTCTCTAACCGGAAGCCGCCATATTGAATTTCAAAAAAGCGTTAGACATCGATTTCAAATACTCATATTGAGCGGAATTTGACAGAATTCCTAAAGTTTTTCTCCAACCGAAAGCCGCCATCTTGAATTTCAAAAAGGTGTCAGACATGGTTTTTCGGTCCCTACACGACACCAAGATTGCAAAAAGACCCAATATTGTAGGTAATTTGGCATTGATTCCCAGTTTTTCTCTAACCGGAAGCCGTCATCTTGAATTTCAAAACGGCTCAGACATCGATGTCCGGTCCCTCCAAAAATACCAATATTGTGGGGTGTTTGACAGAATTTCCAAGTTTATTTTTCCAACCAGAAGCCGCCATCTTGAATGTCAAAATTCCGTCAGACATCGATATCCGGTACAACACGTCACCAAGATTCCAAAAATAACAAAATTGTGGGTAATTTGGCAGTATTTCCCAGTTTATCACTAACCGGAAGTTGCCATATTGAGCTTCAGAAGGCCCTCAGACATGGTTTTCCGGTCCTTACACGTCACCCGGATTCCAAAAATACCCATATTGTGGGGTATGCGACAACATTTTCCACAAACTTTTTTATGAAGTAAATCCCAAAAAATGTTTTTTTACGTCTGTTTCGATTTACGAACCGCCGGTGTGGAACCTGGAACCTAATAAAAAAAAACCATTATGTTTAAGAAAATAATAAAATATTTCAATCTACCTTGTTTGACATGAAATATTACTCGAAACGCATGTTCATAGTAAAACATAAAAACCTGCGATTAAACTGATAAATGAACCTACAAAAACTGCGTAGGCCCTTTTCGAAAAACAAAGCAAACTGACATTTCGGCGAATGAACACCGAGTAACTTTGCAACTCACCTAAGAATGAACCTCTCACGTCACCCGAGTTGACTGTCGGAATCGAGTGAGAAGAGTCATGTGACTGCGAGGTGACAATTGTCGTCTCACCTCATTCGCCACGCCGAATAACCCTGATTGTTTACAGTTCATTTGAACGTGTTCGACGTAAATTTGGATATACCTTTTACTTTATACAATGGAAACCAAGCCAATTGCCGTTGCTGAGCGGAAGTTCATCGTGCGAGACTGTGAAAATCAAATACCTTTGCGTAAAATTGCAGCCACGTACGCAGTCAGTTTTATCGGGGCCCGAAAGGTACGGAAACAGTTTCAGGAAACCGGATCGGTGGCGGATAAGCTAGGACGTGGCCGAAAACGGATTACTACTCCTCGCGAAGATGCAAATATTGTTCGTCAGGCACGTAAAAATCCAAGAATAACAAGCCAAGTGAGCAAAGTGACCTGCAAATAACCATATCTGAACATACTTTGCACTCTAGATTCCGTGAATCAGGCTTGAAAAATAAACTGGCAGTTCGTCGCCCATCGATTCCAAAGCAGAATAAAAACAAACGATTGATGTCTGCGAAAACACGTGGAAAAACCTGTTGAGTTTTGGAAAGAAGTTCTATGCAGTGATGAGAGTAAATTTGATCTCTTCGGAGCCAACGGGCGTCAAAAAGTTTTGATAAAACCAAGTGAGATTTTGTTGAACCTGAATGTTCAGGAGACCGTCAAACATGGGGTGCTTCACGTGGTCAGAAGTTGGCAATTTGACGAAAATCGATGGAATAATAACAGCTGACAGGTATATTGACATCATCAACGAGAATTAGAGTAATTTGCTGTTGGAGGTTGGACTTGAAAGAAGACTCAAAGGACTGTATTTTGTTCAAATACACAACATTTCTACAGCTTCATATAACAAAGTTATAGCAATCAAAGGAAAAAAAAATACGATATGAGAACATTATTTCTACCAGCACTTTAAGTTCCAGTGGGAATGAATGAAACCAGGAAGTCTAATAAGATGAATACGCGGTCCCTTCGTTGATAATATTAAAGTGAACTTCGAGCATGCCCTCATAAAACATCAATCGATTTTCTTCGCTGCTATGAAAAATCGTACCTACCATCACTACCCTCTTTATATCGTTGAGAAGAAGTTAATTAGTTGATTGATTTTCCATGATGGTCCACTCTGAATAAGAGTGGAATAGAATGGTCCTTGAAAAGCTTTAATAGAGCCTAATCTTGCTGAGCTACAACAAGGCAACATACATTCTAAGTCTGAAGTGCCGCCTAGGGGTTGTTCATAGATTACGTAGGCACTTACGGTGGAGGAGGAGTACGTTTCATATAATTGACCAAAAACTCGTATGGACGATCGTTGAACCTATCAAAAACTGTCAACGTAGTTTATG